TACATACTGCCCACCACTTCCTTCATATACTCAAAGACTAATCTCTACATATTGCCCACCACTTCCTTCATATACTCAAAGACTAATCTTTACATTCTGCCCACCACTTCCTTGAAAAACTTACAGACTAATCTTTACATTCTGCCCACCACTTCCTTCATATACTAAAAGACTAAACTTCACATTCTGCCTACCACTTCCTTCATATACTCAAAGACTAATCTTCACATTCTGCCTACCACTTCCTTCATATACTCAAAGACTAATCTTTACATTCTGCCCACCACTTCCTTCATATACTCAAAGACTAATCTTTACATACTGCCCACCACTTCCTTCATATACTCAAAGACTAATCTTTACATACTGCCCCCCACTTCCTTCATATACTCAAAGACTAATCTTTACATTCTGCCCACCACCTCCTTTATATACTCAAAGACTAATCTTTACATACTGCCCCCCACTTCCTTCATATACTCAAAGACTAATCTTTACATACTGCCCCCCACTTCCTTCATATACTCAAAGACTAATCTTTACATACTGCCCACCACTTCCTTCATATACTCAAAGACTAATCTTTACATTCTGCCCACCACCTCCTTTATATACTCAAAGACTAATCTTTACATACTGCTCACCACTTCCTTCATATACTCAAAGACTAATCTTTACATACTGCCTACCACTTCCTTTATATAATCAAAGACTAATCTCTACATATTGCCCACAACTTCCTTGAAAAACTTACAAACTAATCTTTACATTCTGCCCCCCCACTTCCTTCATATACTCAAAGACTAATCTTTACATACTGCCCACCACTTCCTTCATATACTCAAAGACTAATCTCTACATATTGCCCACAACTTCCTTGAAAAACTTACAAACTAATCTTTACATTCTGCCCCCCCACTTCCTTCATATACTCAAAGACTAATCTTTACATACTGCCCACCACTTCCTTCATATACTCAAAGACTAATCTTTACATACTGCCCACCACTTCCTTCATATACTCAAAGACTAATCTTTACATACTGCCCCCCACTTCCTTCATATACTCAAAGACTAATCTTTACATTCTGCCCACCACCTCCTTTATATACTCAAAGACTAATCTTTACATACTGCCCCCCACTTCCTTCATATACTCAAAGACTAATCTTTACATACTGCCCCCCACTTCCTTCATATACTCAAAGACTAATCTTTACATACTGCCCACCACTTCCTTCATATACTCAAAGACTAATCTTTACATTCTGCCCACCACCTCCTTTATATACTCAAAGACTAATCTTTACATACTGCTCACCACTTCCTTCATATACTCAAAGACTAATCTTTACATACTGCCTACCACTTCCTTTATATAATCAAAGACTAATCTTTACATACTGCCTACCACTTCCTTCATATACTCAAAGACTAATCTTTACATACTGCTCACCACTTCCTTCATATACTCAAAGACTAACCTTTTCATTCTGCCCATCATTTCCTTCATATACTCAAAGACTAATCTCTACATATTGCCCACAACTTCCTTGAAAAACTTACAGACTAATCTTTACATTCTGCCCCCCACATCCTTCATATACTCAAAGACTAATCTTTACATACTGCCCACCACTTCCTTCATATACTCAAAGGCTAATCTTCACATTCTGCCCATCACTTCCTTCATATACTCAAAGACTAATCTTTACATACTGCACACCACTTCCTTCATATACTCAAAGACTAATCTTTATATTCTGGCCACCACTTCCTTGAAATACTTACAGATTATTTTTACATACTGCCCATCGCTTCCTCCATATACTCAAAGACTAATCTTCACATTTTGCCCATCACTTCCTTCATATACTCAAAGACTAATCTTTACATTTTGCCCACCACTTCCTTCATATACTCAAAGACTAATCTTTACTTACTGCCCATCTCTTCCTCCATATAATCAAAGACTAATCTTTACATTCTGCCCACCACTTTATTATTATACTCAAAGGCTAATATCATGTAAATGTATTCATAACCGAAAGATATTTTTTAACATTTAAATGATATGGACTTAATTGCGTTAGGAAGTGATAAGTATTTCTTGCTCTGACACAACACATGACGTGTCAACACATTCCAGGGGCCTTCATTCCGTTTTTATGTACATTTGGGGTAAAAGGTCACACAAGAAAATAAATGTTCACCGGCAGCGTGCGTGAAACAATATAGGCAACATATATACAGGCATAGACACACACGTAGAAGCAGACAAAACACATCTACAAATCATTTTAACAAAATCCATATCAACTTAAACTCTGAAGTTTCAGAGCAAACATCCAGATATCGTATGCGTTGGTATATTCAGAAGAAATCAATCAGATGTTGACTTGGGCCTACAGTCGGCGAGGAGATAAACATGAGTGTAAGCAGCAGAAGGTGTTGCAGTGCGACAGATGTCGGAATCGACCGCATTGTCAATCAATCAACTATAAAGTGGTGACCACATATATGCTTAGCCAAACATTATCTTTACTAAAATCGAAAAAACCCAACATTTTTTAAAACTGAATATCAAAACAACAGTTTATTGATAAACGATAAAGAGTCGATGTTTGTTTTCTAAATGTTTATTGATTGACATTAGTTACGCATCGAGGCTGTTCGCACGTCAACGCGGCAGATCAACGGACAATGGCGACCGTTTGCAAGGGGTTAACGGGAAACGAAATTGAACACGAGGGTAGGGGACACCTGCATACGTCAGAACACAGACAATGACCATCACGCGAAGAGGACATCCGGAGAAATAGGAAAACATCAACCAGGTTGAGCAGGGGGCACCTAGGGATAGGTGACAGGACAAAATGCACGGCGTGGAGCGGTCAAGGACTCTTAACGCCACGTGAAGGGGCACCTGGACAGATCAGGGACTCTGAACACTACGTATAGGGGCACCTTATGAGGTCAGAGGACTCTAAACACTACGTGTAGGGGCACCAGGAGAGGTCAGGGACTCTAAACACAACGTATAGGTCAGGACTCTAAACACTACGTATGGGGGCACCAGGAGAGGTCAGATGACTTTAAACACTACGTGTGGGGGCACCTTGAGAGGACAGAGGACTCTAAACACTACGTGTAGGGGCACCTTGAGAAGACAGAGGACTCTAAACACCACTTGTGAGGGCACCTTTAGAGGTCGGAGTACTCTAAACACTACGTGTAGGGGCACCTTGAGAGGACAGATGACTCTAAACACTACGTATAGGGGCACCTTGAGACGACAGAGGACTCTAAACACTACGTATAGGGGCACCTTGAGAGGACAGAGGACTCTAAACACTACGTGTGGGGGCACCTTGAGAGGACAGAGGACTCTAAACAATACGTATAGGGGCACCTTTAGAGGTCGGGGTACTCTAAACACTACGTGTAGGGGCACCTTGAGAGGACAGAGGACTCTAAGCACTACGTGTAGGGGCACCAGGAGAGGTCAGGGACTCTAAACACAACGTATAGGTCAGGACTCTAAACACTACGTATAGGGGCACCAGGAGAGGTCAGATGACTTTAAACACTACGTGTGGGGGCACCTTGAGAGGACAGAGGACTCTAAACACTACGTGTAGGGGCACCTTGAGAAGACAGAGGACTCTAAACACTACTTGTGAGGGCACCTTTAGAGGTCGGAGTACTCTAAACACTACGTGTAGGGGCACCTTGAGAGGACAGAGGACTCTAAACACTACGTGTAGGGGCACCAGGAGAGGACAAGGACTCTAAACACAACGTATAGGTCAGGACTCTAAACACTACGTATAGGGGCACCAGGAGAGGTCAGATGACTTTAAACACTACGTGTGGGGGCACCTTGAGAGGACAGAGGACTCTAAACACTACATGTAGGGGCACCTTGAGAAAACAGAGGACTCTAAACACTACTTGTGAGGGCACCTTTAGAGGTCGGAGTACTCTAAACACTGCGTGTAGGGGCACCTTGAGAGGACAGAGGACTCTAAACACTACGTATAGGGGCACCTTGAGAGGACAGAGGACTCTAAACACTACGTGTGGGGGCACCTTGAGAGGACAGAGGACTCTAAACAATACGTATAGGGGCACCTTTAGAGGTCAGGGTACTCTAAACACTACGTGTAGGGGCACCTTGAGAGGACAGAGGACTCTAAACATTACGTGTAAGGGCAACTTGAGAGGACAGGGGACTATAAACACTACGTGTAGGGGCACCTTCAGAGGATAGAGGACTCTAAACATTACGTGTAGGGGCACCTTGAGAGGACAGAGGACTCTAAACACTACGTGTAGGGGCACCTTGAGAGGACAGAGGACTCTCAACAAAACGTATAGGGACACCTTGAGAGGACAGAGGACTCTAAACTCTAAGCGTAGGGGTACCTGGACAGGTCAGACGACACTGAGGACTACATGTAGGGTAGAGGACAGAGGTCATTAAGCATGGCACAAAGCACTAAGTGTAGGGGACACCTGTAGAGGTTAGATGATAAAGTGCACTACCTGTAGAGAAGGAGGGTAACTGGGTACGTCAGAGGACACAGCGCATGTCGTGTAGGGGGCATCTTGAGAGGTCAGACGACAATGACTTGCACGTGTATGGTTCAACTTGGGAGGTTGGAGGACAAACAGTGTCACGTACAGGGGGCACCTGGTGAGTTCAGTGGTCAACGTCTGTAGGAGAAACCGTCATGCACTTGATGTGAATCCCTATGAGATGTAGGTCCGGTCCTTGACGTTTGTCGTTTTGATGAAACACACTAGCACGGGTTTAATCCTGACAAACCTAGAAACATAATCAGAGCGAATCTGGGATTCGAGCCCACGATCATAGCTTTCTGGAATGCCTCGGGAGTTAGCTCTGCACAGCGGAGAGTGGCGCATCCGACGACTGGGCAACCGTGCCTACAGGGAAGACTACATTATATATGGAGATGTCGATTATTGTATCTTACCTGCCGTTCCTTTCTCGCACCAGAGACTCAGCCTCCCTACCTTTGCTGTAAACAACATACGCATATCCCGGAGGGTTCCTGTAACAAAACAAACAAATATATCAAATTAATTTTCTATCTGATTTACTGTACAACTTTTTCATTTGATCTTAACCTATGGTATCTATCTACCTTAAAAACGGGGAGAGTTGCTCTGTAGATACATAATGATTCAACTCATGACTTTCTTATCTGGTAACTTTCTAGTCTTTCGCATACCATCTTAACATATCCATACATGAAAAAAATTGTGTATCATATTGTCACGAGTAGCTTCATACTGCTCATGTTCTAAAATGTCTGTTATATTGTCATCTTGTGAACCTTCACTAAATACATCGGCTAATACTGCCTTATTGCATCGTCAATATTCTACAGTGTACCATAATAACTTTCTGCAGTTGGCCACTGTGAAACTTGGACACGCAATGCATGTCGTGTGTCTCGTGAGCCCCGCCTTTTGAGATGAGATCTATATTTACTTCAGTGATATGTAAGGCCGCGGGGCCCTGTCTATAAATTAAAGAATCTCAAGCTCCACCTCCCATTGCTTTGTTTCACATGGTGTATCATGCAAGTCGTGTGTCAAACGTGATCCGCCTTCAATGAATCGGTTTTACATATGCCACATAGGTCTAGTGTCAAACGTGATCCGCCTTCAATGAAGCGGTTTGATATATGTCATATAAGTCTTGTGTCAAACGTGATCCGCCTTCAATAAAGCTGTTTGATATATGTCACATAGGTCTAGTGTCAAACGTGATCCGCCTTCAATGAAGCGGTTTGATATATGTCATATAAGTCTTGTGTCAAACGTGATCCGCCTTCAATGAATCGGTTTGATATATGTCACATAGGTCTTGTGTCAAACGTGATCCGCCTTCAATGAAGCGGTTTTACATATGCCACATAGGTCTAGTGTCAAACGTGTTCCGACTTCAATGAAGCGGTTTTACATATGTCACATAGGTCTTGTGTCAAGCGCGATCCGTCTTGAATGAAGCGGTTTTACATATGTCACATAGGTCTTATGTCAAACGTGATCCGCCTTCAATGAAGCGGTTTTACATATGTCACATTGGTCTTGTGTCAAACGCGATCCGTCTTGAATGAAGCGGTTTTACATGTGTCACATAGGGTTTATGTCAAACGTGGTCCGCCTTCAATGAAGCGGTTTGATATATGTCACATAAGTCTTGTGTCAAACGTGATCCGCCCTCAATGAAGCTGTTTGATATATGTCACATAGGTCTTGTGTCAAGCGCGATCCGTCTTCAATGAAGCGGTTTGATAAATGCCACATAAGTCTTGTGTCAAACGTGACCCGCCTTTAATGAAGCGGTTTTACATATGTCACATAGGTCTTGTGTCAAACGCGATCCGTCTTGAATGAAGCGGTTTTACATATGTCACATAGGTCTTATGTCAAACGTGATCCGCCTTCAATGAAGCGGTTTTACATATGTCATATAAGTCTTGTGTTAAACGTGATCCGCCTTCAATGAAGCGGTTTGATATATGTCATATAAGTCTTGTGTCAAACGTGATCCGCCTCGAATGAAACGGTTTTACCTAATATATCGTGCAAGTCGTGTATCTACTGTTTCCGTGCCGGTCTCTCGGATTAGGTTATGAGTTATTTGCGGGACCAATCCGTTTACATTTTGTGTCTTCAGAAACCTGTTCCAAAATCTGCAAATCAATAACTGAGATACATTGAATATGTTGGTTAACTGTCGCTGACTTCGGTAACAGAAGTTCCAAACGCATTGAGAAACTGCATGGTGCACGTGCAATGTTTCGATTGTGTTGGGGCGTTAGGTTTTGGTTCTAAAACCGCTCTCTGGCAGTCGTTTTCTTTTGTCGACTGATTTCACACAAGAAATCTTATGACGTGCCCGTGTATTTTAAACATTGCTTGTAGATCCCGTGTAAATAAAATCTCGTTACCTTATTACTAATTTAAAAGAAATATAAGCAACGCAAAGTCTAGTAATATGATACTGCACATTGCAAAAGTAATCAAGTTGAATTTGAAATTTGAATACCATCATATTGATTATTGAAGATCGCACCAGCGCATACAATCAATCTTCCACATTGTGGTTGTGAAACAGTTGGATTTAAGTGCAGCTTCCCGTGTTTAATCAGGGGGGCACAGCACATGTTGCTTTTAAATCGATGGTGCTGAAACTGTCTGTTAACATGGGTACGCAATTAATGTGCTGACGATGTGGAGGTGACCAGTTAATGTTGATAGCTGATGTTATGATAGATTCTAATGGATACATAAATATCATATAATTTTCATCGCTTTGAATTTTCTGCAATATTTGAATTACCTTCATTTAATACCAAGAAGAGACAACAATTATTTTCTTTATCTATAATACATAAAAAGAAATCTGACAAATTATTTATGTCATCCAAAAGCAAAAGACTTTCTTTTCTTTGGACAGATTTATTATTTCGGAAAGCTCACTCACTCAGCGACAATCCAACCTTAAAATGTTAAGGATCTCCGTGTGTCCTAGGGGCCAGTGAAGAACAAACTTCATACAATATATATCGCAACAGTACAGTCACCATGTATATGTACGGTACATGTGATACGTGATTATATAATATCCAAAATTAGTTGTTACAACATATAACATTATATAATATAACCTACTTAGATTGACAGTGACAAAAACACTGAAAATTTCCTTCAATGAATCATCAAACCACATTTCACTTTTCCAATGTTAATCAACAAATGAAGAAAACAATATAAATCTACGATGACTTGTAGTTCGATTGGAGAACCTTGTCCCCAAAGGTTGAATCACACTAGAGTTACTTTAAAATAATATTCAACGTGTTTTCCAGTGTTAATATACCTTACCTCGCAAGCCAGAGGTCTAAGACTTTTCCATACTTTTGGAGATCTTTAATCAAATGTCCCTTCCCAGTTGACGCACCAAGAGCCCCGATAAACACACGGTAGCCCCCGCATGCAGGATCGTACACAGACATCCCAATGGCGACACCAGGTGTAGTTGGATATCGCGGTGTACCAGCGCCTTTATTGCCACTGACTATCACGTGATTTATCGATAGCGGATTCAATACGATGCACGTTGGAGGGCACCTATCAATTCTCTGCGTGGGTAATGGCATGCACATGATAACGCGAGAACCTAGAAAAGGTTATGGTTACTTGATTTGATCACAATTTATGCATATGCCGGGCGTCTATATGATCATATATTGAATCCCTGAAAATATTAGTATTTAGGTAATGCTATTAATACCCCTACTGACGCAATGGTCAATGCATACATGTAGTGAATTGATAAAAAAATATCATTGACCCACTCACTGGTAAGTGGATTACATCTTCATTTTCTCCCCGATTGAGATTCTTTGACTGTCAGCCCCATATTCTAGGTCGCGGGTTTCACAAAGTGCTTAGCATCTACGACCTACGTCACATTGATATAACCGTGATGTAACTGAATGCGGCATTGGAAGTATGTTGAGCAATAATAGAGAGCAGTGAAATATCATGTACAAAAAGGGCATGCAACTGCCATGTATATAGAAGGCTTGTGTGGTGAACCTGTCATGTATATAGAACGCTTGTGCGGTGAACTTGTCATGTATATAGAAGGCTTGTGTGGTGAACTTGTCATGTATATAGAAGGCTTGTGTGGTGAACCTGTCATGTATATAGAACGCTTGTGCGGTGAACTTGTCATGTATATAGAAGGCTTGTGTGGTGAACTTGTCATGTATATAAAAGGTTTGTGTGGTGAACTTGTCATGTATATAGAAGGTTTGTGTGGTGAACCTGTCATGTATATAGAAGACTTGTGTGGTGAACCTGTCATGTATATAGAAGACTTATGTGGTGAACTTGTCATGTATATAGATGGCTTGTGTGGTGAACTTGTCATATATATAGAAGACTTGTGTGGTGAACCTGTCATGTATATAAAACGCTTGTGTGGTGAACTGTCATGTTTTTAGAAGGCTTGTGTGGTGAACCTGTCATGTATATAGAAGACTTATGTGGTGAACTTGTCATGTATATAGAAGGCTTGTGTGGTGAAACTGTCATGTATATAGAAGTCTTGTGTGGTGAACCTGTCATGTATATAGATGGCTTGTGTGGTGAACCTGTCATGTATATAGAAGACTTGTGTGGTGAACCTGTCATGTATATAGATGGCTTGTGTGGTGAACCTGTCATGTATCTAGAAGGCTTGTGTGGTGAACCTGTCATGTATATAGAAGGCTTGTGTGGTGAGCCTGTCATGTATATAGAAGTCTTGTGTGGTGAACTGTCATGTATATAGAAGGCTTGTGTGGTGAACCTGTCATGTATATAGAAGGCCTGTGGGGTGAACCTGTCATGTATAAAGAAAGTTTGTGTGGTGAACCTGTCATGTATATAGAAGGCTTGTGTGGTGAACCTGTGATGTATATAGAGGTTTTGTGTTTTGAACTGTCATGTATATAGAAGTCTTGTGTGGTGAACCTGTCATGTACATAGAAGAATTGTGTGGTGAACCTGTCATGTATATAGAAGGCTTTGTGTTGTGAACTGTCATGTATATAGAAGGCTTGTGTGGTGAACCTGTCATGTATATAGAAGGCTTTTGTGGTGAACTTGACATGTATATAGAAGGCTTGTGTGGTGAACCTGTCATGTATATAGAAGGCTTTTGTGGTGAACCTGTCATGTACATAGAAGGCTTGTGTGTTGAACTTGTCATGTATATAGAAGGCTTGTGTGGTGAACCTGTCATGTATATAGAAGGCCTGTGGGGTGAACCTGTCATGTATATAGAAAGTTTGTGTGGTGAACCTGTCATGTATATAGAAGGCTTGTGTGGTGAACCTGTCATGTATATAGAAGTTTTGTGTTTTGAACTGTCATGTATATAGAAGTCTTGTGTGGTGAACCTGTCATGTACATAGAAGAATTGTGTGGTGAACCTGTCATGTATATAGAAGGCTTGTGTTGTGAACTTTCATGTATATAGAAGGCTTGTGTGGTGAACCTGTCATGTATATAGAAGGTTTGTGTGGTGAACCTGTCATGTATATAGAAGGTTTGTGTGGTGAACCTGTCATGTACATAGACTTGTGTGGTGAACCTGTCATGTATATAGAAGGCTTGTGTGGTGAACCTGTCCTGTATATAGATGGCTTGTGTGGTGAACCTGTCATGTATATAGAAAGTTTGTGTTGTGAACCTGTCATGTACATAGAAGGCTTGTGTGGTGAACCTGTCATGTATATAGATGGCTTGTGTGGTGAATCTGTCATGTATATAGAAGACCTGTGTGGTGAACCTGTCATGTATATAGAAGACTTATGTGGTGAACTTGTCATGTATATAGATGGCTTCTGTGGTGAACTTGTAATGTATATAGAAGACTTGTGTGGTGAACTTGTCATGTATATAGAAGACTTGTGAGGTGAACCTGTCATGTATATAGAACGCTTGTGTGGTGAACTGTCATGTTTTTAAAAGGCTTTTGTGGTGAACTTGTCATATATATAGAAGGCTTGTGTGGTGAACCTGTCATGTATATAGATGGCTTGTGTGGTGAACCTGTCATGTATATAGAAGGCTTGTGTGGTGAACTTGTCATGTATATAGAAGGCTTGTGTGGTGAACCTGTCATGTATATATAGAAGGCTTGTGTGGTGAACCTGTCAGTATATAGAAGGTTTGTGTGGTGAACCTGTCATGTAAATAGAAGACTTGTGTGGTGAACCTGTCATGGATATAGAAGGCTTGTGTGGTGAACTGTCATGCATATAGAAGGCTTGTGTGGTGAACCTGTCATGTATATAGAAGGCTTGTGTGGTGAACTGTCATGTATAGAGAAAGGCTTGTGTGGTGAACCTGTCATGTATATAGAAGGCCTGTGGGGTGAACCTGTCATGTATATAGAAAGTTTGTGTGGTGAACCTGTAATGTATATAGAAGGCTTTTGTGGTGAACCTGTCATGTATATGGAAGGTTAGGTGAGTTGAAACGGGATTTAACGTCGCGTCCAAGATTATTGCACTAATATAGCGACGTGCATGTACGTGTGTGTGTGTGGCTGTTTGTACTAGTCCGGACTGATGGCGTTTTATAGTGCTAGGTCACTGAGATACCATGCCGCAGTTTAACATGAATACCCCACTCAGACACAGTATACCGACTCCGAGCCGACCAGTCCTTGTTTTAGCCCCTTAATGCCGCGCGCCAGACAGGGTAACATTAAATACCATCTTTTAACGTCTTTTGGTATGACGCGGCCGGGGATCGAACCCCGGACCTTCCGCTCTCCGGGCGGACGCTCTACCACTAGACCACGGAGGTGGTCTTCATGTATATAGAAGGATTGTGTGGTGAACGTGTCATGTATATAGAAGACTAGTGTGGTGAACTGTCATGTATATAGAAGGCTCGTGTGGTTGACTTGTCATGACAGACATAATACATATTGTTTCATCTTGTTTTCCCGGGAAGGCGAGCAACAGCGCGTCGAAACTGCAGTACAGTTGTTGCTTTTGTATGGCTGTGTGTACCTAAAATGCGTCATTAATCAGTTGGAGTGCCGTCGCAGTTTTGAAACAATCGACAAGGACATTAGTGGAGAACCAGCCGTCGCCCTCTATACATGGTCCGTGACAGTTTTATACCACCGAGTGAGTTGTGTGCAAACAATCAGCGGTCACATGTGTGACACGACCATGCCACGGGCTGAGATTTGAGGACAGACATTGTCGACCAGAAGTGGAGGTCGACAGCACATGTTACTGTACTAGGTTCACATCCTGCTGCTGTCAGAAATATATTGAAATGTAAGTAATCAAATAAAAAAAGTTATTCACGGCCATCTAAGGTATATAGAAAAATCAACACTGATATTTTCTTTCATTTTAACAAGGTATGTGAAACTGACTATGACAATACTTTGTTACTGATAGATTTTGTATTGTGTGGACATTTGACTTTTTATCAGTCTGCGAATCCCTAAAGACACATAGCTATGCGTATAAAATTATCATCAACGTCTCGTGTTGTTAATTTTGACCCATGTATTGATATTGGAAAGAGCAGAGTATATGGAAATGTGGTCAATTTGACATGTGAGGAGGCTGATTCTGGATGTGTGTGTTTATATCGGATTACGTATTTCTAAACTAGGTGAAATATATGAAGCGGTAGCTGTCACTGCGCCAGTAGGTGTACCCTAGCATACAGAAGCGTCAAGTCCGCTGCAATATAAATGAACATTGTTATTAAACAGTTTTGTCATAAAGATAACCTTAAAATAGCAGACCTTATATCGTAATACAATTAAGTGCGTAAACAAGAAGGCCTTAAAGCAATAATGTCCGTGACAAGAAATTGAGGTTCACCGATGGCCTGGTAGTCACCCTGTCGCAGTTCGTCGTCAAGAAAAGCGGCCATTAGCTTTGATTCCCAAATACAACAGTATAAAGTACTCCTATGCTCGTCTCATGCGTCCAGATGATATGTAACTGAGTCTTAAAATGTCTTTAAGCTTAATATTTGCCATCGCATTGTTCAAACATTCATCCAAATGAAGCCTTTTTGATAACCATTATACTTTAAAGTTTCAAAGAAAAAGACTCTTTCAGTCTATTCAGGTTAACGTTTCAACAAGAAGGATATAATAGATCCCATTCCAAAAAGCGGTATAAGCTGGGGTCATATATCTGTCACAACTAAATAATGGACTAAAGATAGAAAGCCGAATCGCTAAGTTCGCGTTGTGAAGGGGCCGTGAAGACACACTCCGTTGATTTCATCTTTTTTGGTTCGTGGTCAACGACAGGGCAGAGCTAATCGACCGTGCTGTATGTTGAGTACTGTAATAGCATTCGTAAATTCAGGTCATGGATATACTTGGGACAATTTCGTCAAACTTGATGTATTGAGTAACCAGTCGGATTCATCACATTGGATAAAATACAGAGATACCCATACGCACCAACTAAATATAGCGTCCTCATTGGCAATGATAATA